AAATGGATTGATTAGGTTGATGATGTAGAAATCATCAACAAATGGTATATGCGTCCTTATTCCAGCTGGATTTGATGTTTGTCTTTTAGTATGCTGAAGGCACGGAAACGTTCTGCTTCAAAACTCGATGAGTTGCTACGTGAAGGAGCAACTGGAAGTACGTGTTTTGTGCGAATCCTGGTTTATTCCAAAATAATTTCTCCAGAAAAGCCAGCAGTAGACATAGATAGAGAATTGATGTCCACCGCAACTCGTTTGATGAAAGAGAAGTTACCTTTCAAAAAAGTGCAAGATCCATATGATGTCACGCAACTTTACAAGGATTCAGGGTACTTACTATATCATACCAGTGTACGAGTTGTCTTTGAAAATTGTCTATTTTTAGATTTTGTATTATGGATAGGGAAAAGGAGCAAGAAGCCGTGCGACGCATAGCGGAGTTGATATCTTCGAAGGAACTTCCTCCTAGCACTTTGGAACGAAAGCTTGGCAAGAAAGCAATAACTCCCAAGAAAGTTTGGAAACGGAAGTTAAAGCGAAAGAAGAAAAACGGAAATGCAAAGAAGTAGTATTGATTATAGATCTCGAGTTTGTTGTTTTGCTTCGTTCCTGTTAAGTTATGTTTGCTATGCTACGTTTGCTTTGCTGTTAAAAAGACTGTTAACTTTTTGGTTGAAGTTTGTCATAGCTACAGTATGATCTTTAATAAGTATTATGATGTAATATGTTAATTGCTTTAACGGAGAATCGGTACCTGGATCGGTCCCTCCAGACATAAATTGAATTATGGTTTTTTGAGAAGATTCAGGGGCGGGAAAGTATTATGAATTTTTTTTGAAGGATATTACGCACCATAGGAGAATGGTCTGTTCAAATTAATAAACTGAGAATTCCAACTGCAGAAAGCAAAAATGAATGTGGACCTAACTTCTTCGTCTCCGCAGTCTTCGTATCTCTCTTTGGTGGTTTGTATAGTGGTTGTCTGACAAAAGCACTGCAGAAAATTAATCCAAACCTTTGTTTATTGTCTGTATGATA